GAGGCCCCCAAGACCGCTCCAAGACGGCCCACGAAGCTCCCAAGACGGCGCCGAAACGACCCAAGAGAGCCCTCAAGACGGCCCAAGTGCCGCCCAAGACGGACCAAGAGGCCCCAAGACGGGCCCAAGAGGGACTCAGGAGGGATACCGAGAACTCAAAAATGGAGCCCTCCGTCCCAGAAGGCGCCCAGGAGGTCCCAAAGAGGCCCCAAGAGGCCTCCAAGAGGCCCCAAGATGTCGCCAAGAGGCCCCAGGAGACTCCCAGGAGGCCCAAAAGAAGCCCCAGAAGGCTTCAAACATGTCTCCCAGGCGCCCCCGAACGGCCTCTCAACAGACCCCAAGAGGCCCCCCAAAGAAGCATCTTGACGACGACTCTATTTCGCCCCATCGAGAGACGACCCCCAGGGAACTGCTTCACCATCAAAACTCCCCACGCAACGCGTCCGAACGACACCCGCCCCCAAGAGCGCAACATGGGCAACGAACACACAGACAAAAACCAGCGATGCCATATCACGGGCCGGCGGAATGAGCGAAGCGATTCAATATTCAAGACTGTCAGGGCGCAACAGTCATGTGGACTCGCGGTGGTAGTCGTAGGAAAGGTGTTCTAGCACGAGTCAGGCTTGTCAAGGCGCAGCAATCAAGTTGGCTCGTGGCGCAGGGAGTCCCGAGAATGGTGCTGGCACGCTTCATGGTCTTCAAACAGGTGTCTCCCAACGGGGCCATTCCCTCAGTGGCAGTGAACCACTGTGGGGTCCTGTGAAGCGGGAGCTTGGAGGGAGGGTTTCTTCCGACATCGTTGATGAGCCTTGTGCCTACGCTGGTCCTCCTCCTCCTCCTCTTCCTCCTCCTCCGCTTCATCACCCTCGTCCTCCTGCATCTGCATCTGCACTTCAGACTGACGAATGGACAGCAACTCTGTACACTGCATGCTAACATTACACAAGGTCGCGTCTCCTCCACATCCATCTCCTTCTCTACCTCACACTCCTCCTCCAGCTCATTCCCGTCGTCCTCCCACTCCTCCTCCTCCTCCTCCTCCTCCTCCGCCTCCTCCTCCTCCTCCTCCTCGTCCTCCTCCTCCTCCTCTTCCTCCTCCTCCTCCTCCTCCTCCTCCTCCTACTCGCCCTCCTTCCTACCTCATTCTCCTCCACCTCGCCATCTTGCTGATCGTCTCGCTCCTCCTTCTCCTCCTCCTCCTCCTCCTCTTTCTCCTCACCCTCCTCCTCCTCGCACTCTTCCTTGTCCTCTTCCTGCTCCTGCTCCTCCTTCCCTCATTTTGCTCCTCATCCTGCTCCTCCTCCTAACCGTCCGGCGCCTCCTCCTCCTCCTTCCCGTCCTCCTCCTTCTCCTCCTCCTCTACCCTCATCATCATCATCATCACCACCATGACCATCGCCGCCACCACCATCACCACGACCAACATCAACATCATCAGCACCACCACCGCCACCATAGTCACCCAAATCATCACCAACACCATCACCATCACCACCAACATCATCATCATACGCATCGTCACCTTCAACATCAAATCAGCATCAACATCAACAGCAACATCATCCTCATCGTCACCACTGTGATCATCATACTAATAGCCAACACCAAGATTCCACTTACATACCATCAGCATCATCGTCACACGCACCATCACCATCACCATCACCATCACCCTCATCCTCATCCTCATCCTCATCCTCGTCCTCATCCTCATCCTCATCCTCATCCTCATAATCATCATCGTCATCATCACCATCATCATCATCATCATCAGCATCACCATCGTCATCATCATCAGCATCACCAGCATCATCAACATCATCACCATCATCAACATTGCCAGCCTGCTCATCGTCATCACATGCCTCGCCTCATCACCATCATCATCAGCAGCAGCCGCAGCATCGTCATCATCGTCATCATCACCAGCATCACACTCATCATCATCATCATCATCATCATCATCATCATCATCATCATCATCATCATCTGCATCATCATCAATGAACTCATCAGCATTAGCCTCAGCATCAGCATCATCATTAGCATCATCATCAGCATCATCGTATCACCATAATCGTCAGCAGCATCATCAGCATCAGCATCAGCATTAGCATCATCATCATCATCATCATCACCATGATCATCCTCAACATCATCAGCATGACCATGATCATCATCAACATCATCAGCATCATCATCGTCATCATCATCGGAATCATCATCATCAACATCAATATCATCATCACCATCATCATCACCATCACCATCATCGCCATCATCATCGTCATCACCAACATTATCATACTGAGAACCGGAATCATCAGCATAATCACCATCATCATCATGACCGTCATCATCACCTTCACCACCACCACCATCACCACCATATCCATCAGCATCAGCATCATCATCTTCATCAGCAGCGCCAGCATCAGCATCATCATCACCACCACCATCATCATCATCAGCATCATCATCATCATCACCATCACCGCCACCACGACCACCACTTTCATCATCATCAGCATCATCATCACGATCACCATCGTCATCGTCATCATCACCACCATGACCATCGCCACCACCCCCATCACCACGACCAACATCAACATCATCAGCACCACCCCCATCACCGTAGTCACACAAATCATCACCAACACCATCACCATCACCATCACCAACAACGTCATCATCATACGCATCGTCACCTTCAACATCAAATCAGCCTCATCATCAACAGAAGCATCATCCTCATCGTCATCACTGTGATCATCATACTAATAACCAACACCAACATTCCACTTACAATCAACATCATCATCACAATCACCATCACCATCACCTCCACCACCACCACCATCACCGTCATCCTCATCCTCATCCTCATCCTCATCATCACCATCATCGTCATCATCATCATCATCAGCATCACCATCGTCATCATCATCATCATCATCATCACCAGCATCATCAACATCATCACCATCATCAGCATTGCCAGCATACCCATCGTCATCACATGCCTCGCCTCATCACCACCATCATCATCAGCAGCAGCCGCAGCATCGTCATCATCATCATCATCATCATCATCACCAGCATCAAAATCATCATCATCATCAGCATCGCCATCATCATCATCTGCATCATCATCATCAAACTCAGCAGCATTAGCATCAGCATCAACATCATCAGCATCATCATTAGCATCATCGTATCATCATAATCGTGAACAGCATCATCAGCATCATCAGTAGCATCATCACCATCATTATCATCATCAGCATTATCAGCATCATCATCGTCATCATCATCATAATCAGCATCATCATCATCAGCATCAGTATCATCATCACAATCATCATCATCACCATCATCGTCATCATCATCATCACCAACGTAATCATACTGAGAACCGTAATCATCAACATAACCACCTTCATCATCATCACCGTCATCATCACCTTCACCACCACCACCACCACCATCTCCATCAGCATCAGCATCAGCATCATCATCAGCAGTGCCAGCATCAGCATCATCATCATCATCATCACCACCACCATTATCATCATCATTAGCATCATCATCATCATCATCATCATCATCATCATCACCATCACCGCCACCACGACCACCACCATCATCATCATCATCAGCATCATCACTATCACCATTACCATCGTCATCGTCACCACCATGACCATCGCCACCACCACCATCACCACGACCAACATCAACATCATCAGCACCACCACCATCACCATAGTCACACAGATCATCACCAACACCATCACCATCACCGCCAACGTCATCATCATACGCATCGTCACCTTCAACATCAAATCAGCCTCACCATCACCAGCATCATCATCGTCATCATCATCGTCATCATCACCATCATCACCATCATCATCATCACCATCGTCATCACCATCAGCATCATCAGCATCATCAACATCATCACCATCATCAACATTGCCAGCATACTCATCGTCATCACATGCCTCGCCTCATCACCACCATCATCAGCAGCAGCAGCCGCAGCATCGTCATCATCATCATCATCACCAGCAGCATCATCATCATGACCATCATCATCATCATCATCACCGTCATCATCATCATCACCAGCATCGGAATCATCATCAACATCATCAGCATCGCCATCATCATCATCATCATCATGATCATCTGCATCATCATCATCATCATCATCATCAACAAACTCATCAGCATAAGCATCAGCATCAGCATCATCAGCATCATCATAAGCATCATTATTAGCATCATCATCATCATCACCATCATCATCATCATCAGCATTATCAGCATCATCATCATCACCATCATCATCATCATCATCATCATCATCAGCATCAACAGCATCATCATCGTCATCAGCATCATAATCATCATCAACATCAGTATCATCATCACCATCATCATCACCATCACCATCATCGTCATCATCACCAACGTAATCATAATGAGAACCGTAATCATCTTCAGAATCACCATCACCATCATCACCATCATCATCACCTTCACCACCACCACCATCATCACCATCTCCATCAGCATCAGCATCAGCATCAGCATTAGCAGCGCCAGCATCAGCATCATCATCACCACCACCATCGTCATCATCAGCATCATCATCACCATCACCACCACCACGACCACCACCATCATCATCATCATCAGCAGCATCATCATCATCATCATCAGCATCATCATCATCACTATCACCATCGTCATCGTCATCGTCATCGTCATCGTCACCATCATCATCGGCATCAGCATCCTCTTCGTTTTTTTTTCTCGCCGTTTTCATCCAGCTTATTCTCATCTTCATCCTCATCCTGCTCCACCTCCACCTCCTCCTCCTCCTCCTCCCTCCTCCTCCTCCAACTCCTCCTCTTCCTCCTCGCCTGCTGTGCCTCCCCTTATCCCTCGCCCTCCTCCTCCCACTCCCCTGCCACTTCCCGCACCACGCCGGATATGAACTTCAAGAAGACAAACAGCGCGAGGTCGTGCCTCGGCGTGATGCCCTGCTCGATCCAGTCCTGGGGCCCAGGGCTGGCGGCTGCGGTGCCCCCCCGATCAAGTTCAGACGATCATGCCAGACGGTCAAGCACGCCGACGGCAGTTTGTTGCCAGTGCCGGGCAGACGCCCCGTCCCCTGCGGCGCTCCTTCTGAGTCTCTGAGGCGAACTGACAACGACGTGTGCGCAAGAAGGTACGAGAGCTTTGCCCCTCCCCTCTCCTGTCCGTACCTCCTCCGCCTCCTGCTCCTCCTCCTGCTCCTCTTCCTCCTCCTCCTCCTCCTCCACCTCCTCCTGCTCTCCCACCCCGCTCCTCGCGTCCTCCCCTCCCCATCCCCCCCCCCACACGCCCCATGTTGTCTCCTGCCCCTGTTCCCCAGCCAGCCAGAAAGGCATGGGCGCACGTGCACGTGTGCCCTTTCCAGTCACGCCTGCGCGATCAACCTCTTTCAAACGCAAGCGGGCGGAAACACTCGGGGGCGCGCAAACATGGATTAGCGACCCATGGATTTGGCGCGCGGTCGCCTAATCCATGGATCGGGGGAGGTTCCCTCCCCCAAAATGCGGCCAGTGCCGCTCCGCTCGGCGGCGGAAATCCGCGATCTCACATGGAAGCGGGACCCGTCGCTAATCCACGCCCCCTTGGTCCATGTTTGCGATCGCCTGAAACACGTGCTGCTGGCCTCTCTTTCCCCCTTGCCTCCTCTTCCCCTCCCCTTCCCCTCCCCCTCCCTTCTCCCCCACTCCCACCTCCACTTCCCCTTCCCTCCCGCTCCCGGTCCCTGCCCCGCCCCTCTCCTTCGCCCCGCTCTTCATCCCTGCCATCCCTCTCCCTCTCCTTCTCCCCCTCCCCTTCCCTCTACAATTACTCAATCTGAATACTACTTTCCTCCCTCCGGAAGACAGCCGGGGAGTGAAACGACCCTCTCCGCGAATTGGTTTTGCGCACACGCAAGACTTCAGAAGGCGAGATGTCCCATTGTGTGTTTTGATCGGGACGTCTTCGGTGTCTCAAACCGGTGCTGGTGCTGCAGCGTGGGCCTCATGTTAGGATCGGCGCTTTGCCTCAGTCGTTCAGAATGGCGCTCTCGCCCCAGCACGGGCCGCTTTTCTGGATGATCCGAATGCTTCCTCGCGTTGTCGCCCCGGTCCTTTCCCCTCCCCCGTCTCCCCCCTGGTGATCCTGCTCCTCCCACCCCTCCCACTCCAGCTCCGGCTGCTGGTGTTCCTCCTCGTTCTCATCCCGTCCTCCTCCTCCTCCTCCTCCTCCTCCTCCTGCTCATCCTCCTGCCCATCCTCCTTTCCTCATCCCCCTCGCCTTCCTCATGCTCATCCTCCTGCCCATCCGCAACCTCCTCCTCCAATGCACGCAGCTCCCCTTGTCCGACTGCGCATGACACGCCGGGGTCGTTCGCTGGAGCTCCAGGTCCGCTCCCGCGCGCGTTGGCGAGGGAAGGGCAGGGAATGAGGGGTAGGGTACGAGGGGCAGAGGGGTAGAAGGGAATGGGCATGAGGGGTAGCATGTCAGACGTGCCGCGAGCGCACCCAGCTCGCCCCTCTGCCCCCTCTCCTCTCCCCCTCGCCCCTCCCCCTCCTCTCCCCCTCTCCCCCCTCATCCTCCTCTCCTCGCTCCTTCCCCTCTCCCCCCTCCTCTCCCCCTCTCCCCCCATCCTCCCCTCCCCCTCGCCCCTCTCCCCTCCTCTCCCCTCTCACCCCTCCTCCTCTCTCCTCTCCTCTCCCCTGCCCCCCGCACGAGCCACCGAAACACGGCAGCGCTGCGGGAGGCGGGGCGGTGTGTCTGGCCCCTTCTCGTGCCGCCACGAGGAGGAGGAGGAGGCGGAGGAGGAGGAGGAGGAGGAGGAGGAGGAGGAAGAGGAAGAGGGGGAGGAGGAGGAGGGGGAGGAGGAGGAGGAGGAGGAGAAGGAGGAGGAGGAGGAGGAGGAGGAGGAGGAGGAGGAGGAGGGAGGAGGGAGGAGGGAGGAGGGAGGAGGGAGGAGGAGGAGGGGGGGAGGGGAGGAGGAGGAGGAGGAGGAGGAGGAGGAGGAGGAGGAGGAGGAGGAGGAGGAGGAGGAGGAGGAGGGAGGAGGAGGGTCATGTCTGGAACACCACGCTTCAGCCGCAGAAGTCCGCCACCCTGCCCCCATCCACCCCTGCCCCTCCCCTGTGTCGTCCCTGCTCGTCTGCCGAATGCATCCTCCTCGTGTCGTCCCTGCTCATCACCTGCGCGTCCAGAGGCCCCGATTACTCACCAGCCACCCGGACGACCTTGTCGCATGGTAAAACGCGGGCCGTCGGACGTCGAGGGTGACGGAAGGGGGGGGGAGGGAGGCACAAGTGGGGAAAACGCGGAGCAGGGACGACACGAAGAAACCCCCTTGCCACCCCCATCCCCTGCCCCTGTCATCCCCCCTCCCCTCCCCCTTGACATCCCCCCTCCACTCATCCGCAGGCTCTCCGGAAAAGGAATGCCGGGCTTCGCGGGGGGAGAGAGAGCGATGGGCCATGACCAAGGGTGGGCGCGGGAACGTCGGTGCCAATCTCGGCCATCGCCGAGTCTGGTCATCGCCATTTCGTGGAACATCCTCGCGCATCGGCGACGGCCGGCCTGGTCCGTGGTCAAGATCGGCGTCGACGAGGTCCCGTGACACCTCGGTCGCGGGCATCGTGTTTCATCCTTCGGCTTCAGTCCCTGTCCTGCCTTGGGGTGGAGCGGGCGGGAAGTGGCGTCCTGGATAACCTTCTTCATCACCAGGGCGTGCTTGCACGGATGGATGGACACCTGCGCCCCGTGCCCCCCCTGTGGCCCCCGCCGTTCGTTCCGCTGTCTCCGTCGACGTCTTTCTGCCCCACTACACCTCTTCCCACTGGTGCCACACGGGTTTCGTCCGGAACTTGACTCTAGGGATGTGGCCTGCTGTCGGATACGTACTTCGATTATGTTTCTCGATTGCAGACTGCCGCAGCCCCTTTCACTTTCATCATCCTCAAATGCCGCTTCGGGACCCCAAAAGCCTGCGAGCTTAGGGTAATCCTCCTCTTCGTCCACATCATCATATTATTTGTCCTCCCCCTCATCTTCTCCTCTTCCACATCCTCATCCTCGTCCTCCTCCTCATCCTCCTCCTCCCTCCTCCTCCTCCTCCTCCGCCTTCTCCTCCTCCCCCTCCCCCTCCCCCTCTTCCTCTTCCTCTGCCTCCTCCTCCTCCTCCTCCTCCTCCTCCTCTCCTCCTCCTCCTCCTCCTCCTCCTCCTCCTCCTCTTGCGCGCGGCTCCTCGGTCTCCCTGGGTCGCGGGTCCATGTCGGTGCGCGGCTGCCGGCGCCCGGGCGGCAGGTCTATGGGATGTCAAACGAGCTTGGGCCAGGGTGTTTCTTTTGAAACGACAAGGGGGCGGAGGAGGCGGATGAGGAGGAAATGGAAAAGCAGGAGGAGGAGGTGAAGGATGAGGACGAGGAAAGGGAGAAGGAGATGGAGACAGAGGAGGAGGAGGAAGAGGAGGAGGACGAGGAAAGGGAGGAGGAGATGGAGACAGAGGAGGAGGAGGAGGAAGAGGAGGAGGAAGAGGAGGAGGAGGGATGATGATGATGATGATGATGATGATGATGATGATGATGATGATAATGATAATGATAATGATAATGATAATGATAATGATGATGATGATGATGATGATGATGATGATGATGATGATGATGGTGATGAGGATGAGGAGGAGGAAGAGGACCCACTCATAACTTTATACATCTAACTCGCTTGAGACTCCCTCATAACTCGCTTGAGACTCCCTCATAACTCGCTTGAGACTCCCTCATAACCGTGAGGTTTGGCTGAGGGTGTCCCATGCGAAACTGTGTTTCTTTATGCAATCCATGCAAAAACAATGATAAAACAGGTTTCGCTTGAGACCCCCTCTGAATTTTACATCAGCCAAGCTCAATGGATTTGTAAAGTTGTGAGAGAGTCTCAAGCCAAAACTGGTTTTCCTATTGTTTAACCAATATTACCAAAAAACAAGCAACATTTTTATATAACAAACCAGGGAACCTCTCGCAGGTCCAGGCCGCTAAAGATCCCCACAAAAAGATTCAATGTGTAACCCGCCACAAAAAACTCTGTAATCCGCCACAAAAGGAATCAACTTGTAATCCGCCACATAAGGATTCCCTGTGTAATCCGCCACAAAAGGAACCAAATTGTAATCCACCACCAAAAGAATCATCTTGTAATCCGCCACAAAGGGAATCAACTTGTAAGCCGCCACGCAAGGAATCAATTTGTACTCCGCCACAAAGGGAATCAACTTGTTATCCGCAACAAAGGAATCGACTTGTAATCCGCCGCTAAAGCGATCAACTTATAATCCGCTACACAAAGAGGAATCAATATGCAATTCGCTGCACAAAAAGTACCCCCTGAAAAAGCTGCGACGAAGTACACATCGCTGTAACGCCCCATCCAAAATATTGCGAAAAAAGCGCAGTTTCTTCCCGAACCCTCTGACAGCCGAAAACCCGCCAGGCTCATCCAGTCTGGGGCTGGTCAGACACGGCCCCCTTCCGTGCCCCTGTCGTGCCCCTCTGGAGCCCCAGGGGGCTCGTTTGGGTACCGTTTGGGTACCTTTTCGGACCACCCTCGCCACCCCCCCATTTGTGACACCACCATTATCGGGAGCGGCCAAGAGGAGGGTGTCCAAGAGGGGGGGTGCAAATCATGGCTGGCGACATGTGCGCGGCCCCGGGGGGGGGGGGGCCAGGGAACGTATTGAAAACAAGAAGAGGCGCCATGAGATCTGAGGAAATATCATGGCCCACGCCAGGACATCCAACCCCCCTAGTCATCACCCCCTTTTTTGCCGCCCCCGAATCGATCTGGAGGGGGCGGGGTCCCCCAAGAGCCGGCTGAGCGCATCCAGGGGGGCCGAGGGCCCCAAGACAAGCCACGAGGGCCCCAAGAGGCCCTTAGGGGCGGTCCCGGCGGGCCACGAGCCGCGGACGCATCCATCCAGAACGCCCCCGCTGGCCTCCAGACGGCGCAGGAGGCCTCCAAGACGCCCCAGAAAGCCCCCAAGGGGCGCCCCGAGAGGGCCTCCATTGCGCAACGACCAGCATGGGTCCCACGGCGCGCACCCCGGGCCCCAGAGGCTGTCGGGCGGCCTCGCAGCAGTGAGCCGCCGCCCCGGGGAGGCGGGGCCCTCCGCGGGCGCTCTCCGCGCCGTCCGCGCGCGGCCCCCTCGGGCCCCGCCCCCGGCCCCGCCGCCGCGCGGGGTGCGCTCCGGCAGGCGGACAGCACGGCGCGAAGCCCGGCAGCGCCCCCGAGGAGTCCCGCCCCCGCTCTGCCACCCGCCCCAGACCCCCTCGAGCAGGGAAACGATCCCAACGAGAGGTGGTTTTGTTCGCCCTTCGCAGCCTGTGGGGGCCCCTTGCCGGGCCTCGGGACCTTCCAGAACCGACTCGGGACGAAAAACCGGTCCCGGGGAGTCGGGCGTGTCCCCCTACAGGGGGATTCTTTGGACCACAAATGTTAAAAAAAAATGCCCCCCAATGGACCAGAAATGCCCCAAAAATCGTCCCCAGACTATTTGTGAGCTATTTTTGACGATTCCCCCTGCAGAGGGACGGGCACGACTTCAGAGTAGGTCGAAACCTCTGGGCTCCCAGCAGCGCCCCCGCGCCGCGAGGCGCGCGAAGTCGGCAGGGCTGCTCCGCCCTGCTGTGTGCTCGGCCGCGCCTCGAGGCCCAGAGGGCCGTCGTCGTGATTCTTCTCTTGCACAGCTGTCTTCTAGAGCTCGGACCTCTTTATTTTCGTTCGTCGTCGTCGTTCGTTCGGCCGTTGTTCGTCTTCCCCCCCCCCCCTGGCGCCACAGAAGGAAACTCCTGGAGCAAGGAGGCGAAAGCCTCCCGTCTCTCGCGGCTCCTGGGTGCAAGAGCCAGGGCACGCGTGCCCCCTGTTTTTTCCGATGCGCGATGCCCGGAGGTCTCGACCCCTCCGCCATGGGTACCCGTTGCTCGGCCTGCGCCGTTTCTTGACGGTCCCGGGGCCCTTGCGAGGGCCTCTGTATGGAGGTCGGAGCCGGCGTCTGGGGGTGTGACACGGAGTAGTTATGTATGAGGGAAAGGGATGGAGGAGGAGGAGGAGGAGGAGGAGGAGGAAGAGGAGGAGGGATGGAGGGATGGAGGGATGGATGGGGGATGTAGGGGGGGAGGAGGAGGGATGGAGGAGGAGGCGGAGGAGGAGGAGGAGGCGGAGGAGGAGGAGGAGGAGGAGGAGGAGAAGCCTCGGTCCTGACATGCTTTCGAGGCGTGGGGTCTCCGGGGGAGGCGTCGGCGCCGCGCGCGTGCGGCGTCGGGCAGGGGCTGGGCCCGGGTGGGCGGCGCGCGCAGAGCGGCGGAGCGCACGCCCCCTCCACCCAGAAGCGTCGTTCCAGAGAGCCGTCCTGCTCCTACGCCTCCTCCTCCTCCCCTCCTCCCTCCTCTCCTCCCTCCTCCTCCTCTTGCCCTCCTCCTCCTCCTCCTCCTTCTCCTCCTCCTCGTCGTCGTCGTCGTCGTCCTCCTCCTCCTCCTCCTCCTCCTCCTCCTCCTCCTCCTCCTCCACCCCTCCCGCGCGTTCCCGCGCGCAATCTGCAAAACCTGTGGCGTGCGCGAGCGCGGCGCGGGGCAGCGTGGTCGGGGGCGGGCCGTGGGCGTCCCCGACAGCGGGTGCGGGTCCACGGTGACCGTCTTCGCCACGTACTCGCACAGGACGTCCTCGTAGACCTGCTGGGGGGCAGGAGGCATTTGGTGTCCGTTCCATGGGCGCCTGCGTGGCCCCCTGCACTGTCCAATTTGGGCCTGATTTGGACCAGATCTGGAACAGATTTGTACCGGATTTGGACCGGACTTGGACTGGAGTCGTGGGGACTAGGAAAACGGGGAGGGGGAGGTGGAACAGGAGGGGAGAGGAGGAGCTGGAGGATGGGCCAAATGCGGTCCCCACGCTGTCCACATGCAGGAAAAGCTGATTTCAATGTCGCCGCCCAGGGCCCCCATGAACAGACATCGAAGAGGCAGCGTCGGGCGCCCGTGCTGCCCAGGCCGGGCGGTGTTCCCCGAGGTCGGCCTCTGGGGCCCGCCGTCGCAGCTGCGGGGCCCTCGAGACGGAGCCAGGGCGAAGAGCTGACCCCCGGGGAAGCGGTCGAGGCCCCGGGCACGCGCCAACCCAGCTACACATTTTTTCGATTTGCGGCAAGGACGACTCCAGAGAGCGGGTCAATCTCGACAGGGGCGCAAAGCGAGACGATTGGCAACGAAGGCGCATAGGCCAACGCCGCAATGCACATGCGAGGGACAAAATGAACCTCCCAGCTACACATGCCCGCGGCGTGGCAAAATCGGGCGTTGGCAGAACTGGGTTTAGTGGAGCCTGGTTTAGTGATTTGTACCGGGGGCGCCCCCCCGCCCCATTTCCACGAATTACCCGGAACTGCCGTCACCCGAAGAACACCAGTTACGGCAAACCTGGTTTGGTGAATCTGGCCAATCGAGGGGCCCCAGAGCCCTACCACTGACCGGGTCCCCTTGCCCGGGGTCCTGGCTGTACCCGACAAGAGCACGAGGGGTGGCTTTGAGTCGCTTCTGGCCTCCGGGGGGGCCCTCCACGGGCCACGGGGCCGTCAGCAGGCAGCCCACGGGTGAGCAGCTGGCCCCGGGAGCGGGTCGAGGCCTGTGGGGGTCGGCACCGCTACCAAGGTGTCATGGCGTCCCCAGACCCCCGACGTCATGATTTTTTCTTTGCGCGACCCCCAGAACCCTGGACCTATTCGCCGGGATCGGTTTTTCATCCCGAGTCGTTTTTGGACGGTCCCGAGGGCCAGTAAGGGCCCCCAGAGGCCGAAAATAGCGAGAAACCTTCCGTCGTGATTTTTTCATGACTCGAGGGGGTCTGGGTCGGGGGTCTGGGAACATGGCACAGGGATCCATGGAGCTGGCGCGGGCGCTGGATGCACGGAACTCGGGGAAGGCCCCCCCCCCCCCCCTTCAGAACACGGCGCCAGTGCCGCCCAGCCGGGCGACGGAGCGCGCCGATGTGATCTGATGGAAGCGGGGCGGGAGAGGGAGGAGGGGGAAGAGGAAGGAGGAGGAGGAGGAGGAGGAGGAGGAGGAGGAGGAGGAGGAGGAGGGCGGGGAGGAGGGCGGGGAGGAGGAGGAGGAGGAGGAGGAGGAGGAGGAGGAGGAGGAGGAGGAGGAGGAGGGGGAGGATGCTAATAATGCGGAGCTGGATTCCAACGTGGGTCTGTTACTATAGAGACGGTAACGAAACAAACGTTGAATCACATATTATGCGTATCTGTGCATATGCGGTCTGGCAAATCGGGGAGGCATCATCGCGACGCCAAGGGGCGTCGTGGACTCGAGCCTTTGGCCTGGAAGCACGAGGCGCACGATTACCCATATCATGAAGTTCTGCAGCCAGTCACTGTTTTCTGGGGGGGCGCACGGACACGCAGAACACTGTTCAGCTAATCGTGAGCTGGCGCCCGCCTCAAAGTCATGCCCCATCCCCCGCCTCTTCCAAATATCCCCCGTCTCCCCCTCCTCCTCCTCCTCCTCCTCCTCCTCCGCATTGCGGAGGAGGAGGAAGAGGAGGAGGAGGAGGAGTCGGAGTCGGATGCCTGGGCAGCTGTCCGCATTCATCCTCTGAAGGCTTCTGGCTCGCTACAAAGGCGTTACGAGGGGGGTCGCAGGTTGCCCTGGGGGCTCCGCGAAGAGACAGGGAGCAAGAATGTCTGAGGCAGGGGATTGCATAGAAATGGAGCAAAGCTACCTCACGTCCAGCGAAACTTCCCCAACTTACGCAGATTGTATAGTTGCCCCTATCGTACTTAAGGACAACATCCCAAACATAATGTCGAGCACCCGGAAAACTGTCGAGCGAGTGTCGAAAGAGTGTCGAAATAGTGTCGGCCGAGTGCCTACCAGGGCCCGACACGTGAAACCCTCGAGTTTTAGGGTGCTCTCCTGGTGCCCGAAATTCGGTCTGGTGATCAAGGCCAAAGCAGGTTGGAACATCATAACGCAGGTTAGAATGAGGGGGGCCCCAAGCCCCCACAAGCCTGCGCAAGGCTGGCCTCCTCGCCGCGCCCCGAACGGCACCAGAGCACCAATCCCCTCGGCCATCGGACCCTGGAAGCCATGCAAGGCAGCGAGAGAGGGGGAGGGAGGGAAGGAGGGAGGGAGGGAGGGAGGACAGAAAGGAGGGAGGGGGGAGGGGGGGGGGAGGGGGGGGAGGGGGAGGGGGAGGGAGGAGGGAGGAGGGAGGGGAGGGAGGAGGGAGGGAGGGAGGGGGGAGGGAGGAGGGAGGAGGAGGAGGAGGAGAGGAGGAGGGAGGAGGAGGAGGAGGAGGAGGAGGAGAGGAGGAGGAGGAGGAGGAGGAGGAGAGGAGGAGGGAGGAGGGAGGAGGAGGGAGGAGGAGGATGAGGAGGAGGAGGAGGAGGGAGGAGGGAGAGGAGGAGGAGGAGGAGGATGAGGAGGAGGAGGAAAAAGGGGAGGAGGAGAAAACAGGAGGGCGGCGGAGAGGGCGGACCGTGGCGAGCGACGACCCGTGTCCACATCGCAGGATCACTCAGCGTCGGATCAGACTGCATCGGCACGGTGCCGAGGTCGAACCTCATCGTTCGCCGTCCTCCGCATGATTAACCTCCTCCTCCTCTTCGTCCTCTTCCTCCTCCTTCTCCTCCTCCTCCTCCTCCTCCTCCTCCTCCTCCTCCTCGTCCTCATCCTCATCGTCGTCGTCCTCCTCGTCATCGTCCTCATCGTCCTCGTCCTCCGCTTCCTTCTTTTCCTCGTCCCTCCTCCTCCTCCTCCTCCTCCTCGTCCTCCTCCTTCCTCCTCGTGATCCTCGTCGTCGTCCTCCCCCCCTCTTCCTGCACCCCGAGGCCCGCCCAAGCGGGCGCCTCCTCGGGTTTCAGGGGCCTCCCGCCCTCGTCGTAGCCGAAGAGCCACAGGCGGGGCGTCTGGTAGTACTTGTCGTAGGTGATGGAGAGGTCGTACGTACCTAGGGCTCGCACGGGGAAGGCGGGAGGGCGGGCGAGGAAGGCGGAGGAGGAGGAGGAGGAGGAGGAGGAGTCTTTCCTCTGAGAATCGGGGTAAGATGCCAAAGGAACTATGGTCTCGTGATCAACGCGCTCTGTGGTAGAGGGTTTGGGACGAGGCATGGATGAGACAATGGGTAATCCGTATAGCAAATGAGAACAATCACGGGAAAGGGGGAGGCCGGCCGGCCGACGCCCGGACGCGAGCGCGCGGCAGCACGCTCCTTTTCACGCTTGATAATCAAACAGCTGCAGCAAAGTTATCACTGTCAATGTGAAGCAAGGCAGGCGGCAGGAGAGGCAACTAGAAGATGAGGCGGAGAGGGGCATATTTACTCCCCCCGCGGCGGGGTCCGCAAGCCCGTCAGCCTACATCCACCAGCCCCTGTACATATATACAACCTGGAAGAGCCCAAAAACTCCAGGCCGGCTGGGGGCGATGGGCTGAAGTCGCCGACGAACCCCACCTCCGCATAAAGCCGGGCCTCTCATGTCGTAACGACTGGGTCGTACGACTCCTCCTTGCTCAATTTTTCTGCCAGTAGGCCTGCGACCGCGATGGCGGCGCTGGAGGCCTCGGAGTCGAAGACGAGGCACCTCCTTTTGGCCAAGCTGGCAGGTGAGGCTCCGAAGGCTTGCCTCTTTTGCCAGGGCCAGCATATGGAGCTGGCCGCAGATGTTTGGACTTGTCCTTGTTCTTGCTGCATCCCTTGCCCTGGTCTCTCGGGAACAAGTGGTTGTAGTCACACTGGGGCAAGAAATGCCACTCGCGTTCTTTGCGGGCATGCCAATGCACCTGGTCACGGTGCACCCAGAAACCCACCACCTCACCGTGCTCGGAGATCTTCGGGTAGCGCCGCATGGGGCCCCAGGCGCCATCGCCATAGCTGGCAGCCATGGCTCCGCCGCGCCCGCGCGCGGTCATTGGCTGATCCCACGCGTTGCCGTCTGGGGAACGCCTCGAGGGTTCATCGCCCGCCGATGCGGTTTGACCGCCGGCAGAGCGAGGAGACTCTGCGGCCTCATCACCGACCCGAACGCATGGGACGTCGGGCGGTCGAGGCGGGAAAGGCGGGGCCAGGCGGCCAGCAGGGCTTGGCCCTGGCGGCGACGCGGAAGCCACCTCCTGAACGGCTGGGCCGTCGGAGGGGTCGTCTGCGGCTCTCTCCTCGCGAAGTCGCGTCTCATGCTGTAACTTCGCGCACCTCGCGATGCCCATCGCGGCAGTCGTCACGTAGGGGCCGAAGCGCCCACTGGCAATGCGAATGGGGGTCTTGGTCACAGTCATGCTCGGGAGTGGACTCCAAGAACGGGCGCAGGAAAACGACGGCTTCTTGCAATGCTCCGCCGCGGCGACGGAGCTCGGCACGACTCTCTGTGCAAAGGTCGCGGGGCCACGCTTCAACGACGAGGTCATCTGCGTTGACAGCCGAACGGAACGGCTGTCCAGCGCATATGCATCGAGGCGGCGCTGTTCGATGTTGACTCCGTCGCAGGGCACTCGAGAGTAGATGCCAGGCGTGGGATAAGCGATGTAATTTCGTTCGTCGAGAAAACAATTGATGATCTCGCGGGCAATTACAAAGACACGCATGACACGAAGGTCCAGGTTGAGCTGTTCGACAGGAGTCCGCCAGCTCTGCTCGAGGGCCTCTTTCACCGCTGTAGGAACCGCATGTTCCTGCTCTCCCGTCAGGCGCGACAGGCGATGCCTGTCGGCCGTTCCCGTTCCCGGGTGATGGCACACGTGCTCCATAACATGCTGTGCTGCGACGCGGATGGCTTCCTGCTGCGTCGTTGCGACGCGCAATGTGCCGCCCTCGCGTCGAGGAGTCACCTGTCCGTCGGACGGGTCTAGGGTGATTTCCCCGCTCAGCCACCGCCCGGTGTGGCACCCACGGACAGCATTGAAATCAAAGGGTATTGGAGCACGCCTCGCGTCTCCTGTCGACTCGGCTTGGCCAGCGACAGGATTAACAGCGCTGCGAGGGTGCATGGCGCAAATCTTGTTGCGCCGAGACACCGATTTGGACGAGCGAGCAGGGCGAGCAGTGAGCTGCTGCGCCCAAACCACAGGCGGGCGTCCACGATGGCTGGGCCATGCGGCGTCCGCGCCAGCATCCTGAGCATCAGGCATCCAGGGCGCTACTCCAGAAAGTGCATTGTACACTGTCTGGAGAGTCGGTACAAAGGTGCCTGCTCTTTGCTGGGCGCTTCCCCAGTTTGCCCATCCTCCAGAAGGGCTTGTGCTCGTCTCGTCTTCGTCTGGCCAGTCAAACGCAGCCAGAGGAGGGCGCGAAAATGGGCGCGCGTACTGATCGATATCTGTGGCCCATATGAGGGGCACCACTCTGCGATCGTTAGCTCGTTGGCCTGTGCTCTCAGCGCCAGGAACTCCAGCCACTTTATGAACCTCCTCCTGAGAGGTTCAACGTACTGGAAGAAAGGTCCGCGGTGCGCTGGCGGCTGGGCCGCGGCGCCGTCAGGGACCCAGGCGGGAACACTACAGGGGCGGCTGTTGCCAAAGGTTTGACCTGCAGCAGCCATAACGGTGTATCCACCGTTCGCCCACTTACGCTCCATCTTCAGACTGGCATTAATGTTGGCCATGACATCCGCTGACGCTTTGCACTGTCGCTTTCGTCTCTCAAGAATGTACTGGTCTTGGCGGTAGGGCAAATTATCATAATTATGAACAGTCAGCTCAAAGCCGTTATCCCACAACGTGTTTTCAATGGTATGCGACTGGAACGATTGGAGCATATAACTGTGCGCAACCATGTATTTGCACCTCACTGCCTTTGTGCAAAAGGGGCAACGGCCGAAGCCAGTGCGGACCCAATGCAGTTGAGGGCAGAGGAACCGACCTTCATCCATCCAGGGGACGGACCGAAGGAACTCAGCTGCCCTGTCAGGCCATTCGCGGAAGTCTGGCCGAAGCGTCACCGTCTCGTCTGTATGAATCCAAGCTAGCATGGAATTGGCGTCGAACTCCACCTCGTATGAGGTCCACTCTCGACTGAAGACGAGGACCCAAGTGGTCAATCGTTCGTTCGACCTCGACCAATCCAATACCGTTGCAAGCTGGACAACTTTGTCGACGTCGGTGAATCTAGGCACCTGGCGAGACACCAATGTTCCGTCGCGGCAAACCCGGTACGAACATCGGGTGAGGACACGGCCATGAAAAACTAACACGAGCGGCCATATCTCTCTGTGCGTCGGTAACTGGTCCCACAGACGGACTGTGCCCGCTGTGGGCCACGACCCAATCGCAGCAGGCTGATTCGCCTCGGGGGCTTGGCCCATTTGGCGAAACTCCTGGGGGGGGGGCGCATTCACCGTCCCTACGCTGGCTTAGCCAGGAGGGAAGGTTTCCCGAAGCTGCATGGTCGGGTTCCGCTTGGTCGGAAGAAGGCGCAACAGGCCATAGTCCGACTCGAAACAAAGTCCCGACCTGCTCTCGGGGTATTGGATGTCCCCGAGCACCGATGCCTTCAACGCGTCCATGTCCGCGACGTGGAGAAGGGGGCCATGGCACCTGGCTAGGCCAGGGTCGTAGGGCGCATACATTCTCTCAATGGAAGCAACGAGCGTGGAATGACCCAGGCACGCTCTGTAGAAAATGGGAATAGGGCACGCGGACCGACCGCCCGTCGTGTCAGGCCAGCCCTTAAAATCCCTCCAGTGTCGCAAGAGCGTCGTGTCGCCAAGGCAAGCAATGGCGCCGGCATGGATGCCCAAGATTTCCACGGTCCCTGGCTGCAAAGCGGCTAGGCCGTGTACAGCAAGGGCCACAGTTTGGAATTTGTACCCATCTTCTTGCATTTTGTCAATTAGGTCTCCAACATAGACCCAACCCCCCGAAGACCTCGCATAATCGGGACAATGTCTCGCGAGATACGCAGCAAGCTTCCCGATGCGCTCCGCTGTCTCGTCCGTCCGATAACTATGGCGCCGCCAGAACCCCGCGCCGCCTAGGGCGGCCGGGTTGTCGGCGTCAGAGACGCCTACGGCTGGCGGAGTCAGGGCCTTGTAGGCCCGAGACTCAAGTCCCTCGGGGGTGTCGTCAGAATGAAAGGCTGCACGAAGGTATCTTCTCGTCAGCTCAAACTGCATGGGCTCGAGGTTGTCTGTTCCTAGCAATGCAAATATCGGATCCTCGACGAGCTCTGCCATGTGTTTGAGCGTGTCGAAAGAACGCTCACGAAGGGCCTCGATCTTGGGAAGTACAGGACCAGTGGTATGTGCCTCCCGAATTCGCCGCTGCAACTGAGCTGGCGTGTTCTGTATAATTTGGGCCCGTTCGTTTTCTGAAAGGTAAAGGCTCTTACCCTTGAAGGCATCGGCGTGGCCGACGACGACCTCGTCTCCGCCTTGGCGGGGCGGGCCATCTGTCGGGAGGGGCTGCCGCACATCAGGAGAGGGCGGCAGGGTCTCTCGACGCAAGAAGTTTTTCGCCGTAGGGCCGAGCCGGCAGTTGTCATCATCTGGATAAGCTGTCGCAGGGTCGTCCTGATATGGATAACCAGTGAGGTCGGCGATGGATGGGCTGGTCTCAGGAGGCTCTGGCACGTCTGGGACACTTGGAGCTTCGACTTCAGAAGCTGGCTCCGCAACGTCTTGGCCGCCCGGAGCGGCGACTGTCGGGGCCTCTTTCTCAGCGGACTCGGCCTCGGCATCGGGGGAGCTTTCGGGCTCATCGGTAGGGGCGCAGCCGCGTGCCTCGCCTCGAGCTCAGACGGCGCCGTGGAGACGGCCTCCATGTCAACCTCCATTGGTTCGCTTTTTATTACTGCGTCGCCCGCGCTGGCTGGGCCAGCCGGGCCTTCAGGCTGAGTAGGATCGCGCATTGCCTTCTCCGCCTTGGCTGGGCCAGGCGGAGCAGCGCAGCAGGCTGCGTGTCAGGTACCGCATTATCCACAATTGCTGGGTCCTGCGGACCAGCTGGTGGGGAAGCGGG